CGGTGGCCCTGCATTCCCTCGCTCACCGCTTCATGTTGTACTCACGGTGGAAGAAACACATTTAGGTAACGATTCTCTGTCCGACGCGGGGGCCACATTATGTTCGGCGCACCGAGTATTTCACTCGCACGGGAATAGATGGCACCCAAGCATCGGGTCCCTCCCAAACCGACTGCTCCGGTTGTTTCTCCCAGCGGTGGCCCTGCATTCCCTCGCTCATCGCTTCATGTTGTACTCACGGTGGAAGAAACACATTTAGGTAACGATTCTCTGTCCGACGCGGGGGCCACATTATGTTCGGTGCACCGAGCATTTCACTCGCACGGGAATAGATGGCACCCAAGCATCGGGTCCCTCCCAAACCGACTGCTCCGGTTGTTTCTCCCAGCGGTGGCACTGCATTCCCTCGCTCACCGCTTCATGTTGTACTCACGGTGGAAGAAACACATTCAGGTAACGATCCTCTGTCCGACGCACCTAGCATTTCACTCGCACGGGAATAGATGGCACCCAAGCATCGGGTCCCTCCCAAACCGACTGCTCTGGTTGTTTCTCCCAGCGGTGGTCCTTCCCACATTCCCTCGCTCACAGCTTCATGTTGTACTCACTGTGGAAGAAACCTCACCGCCGCCATGCCCCCACCGAGACGCCAGAGTCCGTAAATCTGTGTCCTCTTCCTTCTTCTTCGGGTTAAGACATACCTTCGCGCACGATGGTGGCACCTGCAATCGACACAGCACAAAAGCAAAACAAGGCCAGCCACTGGCCGCACACCACCCCCGCATCACCACACCGCAAAAAAGGCGAGCACGCTACGCCGCCGAGGAGGGAGCTCATACCTCAGCGCCCTCCGCGGCGGCGCGGAACTAACTATACTCCTGGGGCCCTAAGCTGGACGCTTGGCGAAAACGACGGCGAGAAATTCGGCGGCCGCGATTGGCCAAGGCCGCATTTGACCTTGGCGCCGGCCAATCATAGCCGCCGAATTTCTCGCAGACTTTTTCGCCAAGTGTCCAGATTAGGACCCTCGGTTCGAGGCTAGCTCTGAACACGATCTGGGCCCGTTTGCTCGAAGCTGGTTAACTAACCGCGGTTAACCGGATTTCCCTACGAGGGGGAATTTTGGGTCACGTGATCGGCAGAGTAAGGACGGCGGGGAAACATGGCGGCGCCCCGGTAAGTGAGCGCCACTCGCTTTGGAACTAATACGTCGTAGTGGCTGCAGTAGCGGGCGCGTTAGTCAGCAATGAATGGTGCAGGAGGTTTTCGCGTTGCCTTACCTCACTTAAAACGCAAAACATGAGCAATGACCTCGCCGCATTTTTTAGATAGACTTTGGACTCTGGCCATTCCTAAGCCTAAATGAACGCGATAGTTGTCGGCATGGCAACGTCTTTGGAAAGTGGATGGCCTTGACTTAATCGGCCGGGTATTGATAGCAAACCAAAGCAGAGAGCGTTCCCATAGACCTTTTGCTAAATTTCAAAAGCACCGAGGTGCATGCTACGAGTGTAGTTACACGCGCTGCACCTGCTGGCGTTTGCAGTAATAACTGTTCTTAAGCAAAAAGCCTAAAACAAATTTTGCCGTGTTCGTCAAAGATTTATTATAATTATTTACTTCAAATCTTTTATAAATGAAAGGCCAGCGCGCGCGGATCGTACAATTACACTTCCAGCGTCCTTCTCGATTTTCGGGTAATTTACTAATACGTCAATTTTCAATGGAGCCGAATTACAGGTTTTTCCATTTGACGGCGTTATATACAGTTCTTACATGCTGGCCAACCATGCTGCCGGTGTACCGCCCGCCTTTCACTGCTCATTTCTTTCTCATCGTTTCTAGAACTCAACTTCGTCGTCCTCTTTCAAACTCGGAAGGAAATTTCAACAAGGCTTTTCTTCACTTCATACAGCCAAATATTTATAAAATTTCCAAACAAAAGTTAACTTAGTTTTACCTTGCCGATTATTTGTACCACGAGCAATAAAAAAATTTTCTTAAGCTCAAATGTATGCCGCGCTGCGTCGCGAAAACCAGGCAGCGCGCATTTTTGGCTCCCCCCATTTCGGGAACCTTTCCGCAGAAGCCACGTATATTCGCTACAGCCAGTAGGTGACACCAGCTACCACCCCGTAATAAAACACGGAGCTATCGCTCATCCAGCCCTCGTCAAACCTGGCTAGGTACTTGTAGGTACCTAGTAGGGAAGGGCGGTTAACTTTTAACCGCGGTTAAAGTTAACCGGCTTCGAGCAAACGGATCCTGGTCGCTCGCTCCCCGCGGGAAGAGCGGCCGGAGTCATCACCTACGGTAAAAGTGTTTCTTCTACCGTGGCCTTGAAAAAAGTCGCACACGTCTCCCTTTGGGAATCGCTAACGCTGACCCCTTCACTTTTCTGTTTCGGCTTTCTCTTTTTCTGCCTCTTTTTGCCATACGTTCCCGAACGTATGGCATTTCCCAAGGATCATGCTAAGTTTTTTAAGGATCCAATGGCTATACGCCTCGCAAGAGGGCTCATTTTCGTCTTCTGCGCATGAGAAAGGGAGTAGCGGTGACGTCAGAACGCCGAGCCCTGATTGGCTGATCGCGACCCCCTATCTGAGCGTCGTCTGCTCCTTTGCAACGTCGTCTGCTCGCAACGTCGTCTGCGTTTGTCTTACCATTCCTGCGACTTTCGGAAGTCGAGCGAGCTTGACTTCTTCGCCTTTCAGAGAGGGCAGACGAAATAACTCGAGCGGTACGTTGTTTTTGTCTAACAACCAGCAGACGCGCATCTAGGAGGGAAGTCAAAGGACTCACTGGTGAGGTGTCCCGAGGCGCCGAGGTTTGTTTGCCAAGAACCGAGAGTGAGCGTGTTAGTGTCCGCAAGTTCCCTCCCAAATACTTTTTCCCTCCTTTCGTTTGCGGCGAGACTTTACGTCTGCTAGTCAAAGCAATGGCTGCCTTACCTTTCCTGCGTCTGTCGGAGATTCACCGCTTTTTTACCGGCGAGGGTCACCGTTGCATCGGAAAACAAGGGATGACAAGAGGAAAAGATTGACCTCTTAATCTAAAATTGAGCTCAGCGGTCAAAGTATAAGACGGGAAGGGTTCGCAAGGATCGCGCGGGCATATTCCATTCAGCAAGCCAGCCGGTCGTGGGCAGACGGTCGCCCAGTAGGAGTGCCTGCTAGGCCTATCTGCCGAGCAAGCTTGGTCGTTGTCGGTGGAATCGTGGCCGTTGGAGCTTTTCCCGGGTGTTTGTGGATCCAGCGTTCTTGTTCGTCGTAGTCTGTTTCAAGTACTTTTTACTTTTTTCTTGCTGCTTGAAGTCGGGACGCGTGAGAAGAGCACGTACAAAAATAAACGTCCGTTGGTCGTCGCGACTAAGTAACTGAGCGACGCTGTGGGCCATGCTGATTTGATCGTAAGAAGTGCGTAAGACAGCTTCGGAGCTGTCGTAGGATTCCGTCGTAACCTGCGCAAAACTTACGATAATTGAATACGAATTTGTTCTTACGTTTTGACTTACGCACATTTTTGGCGTAAGGTCGTTTCGTGAATCTGGCCTCTGCACTATCAAAAGTCGCAGGAAAGGTAAGACAGACGCAGACGACGTTGCGAGCAGACGACGTTGCAAAGGAGCAGACGACGCCCAGATAGGGGGTCGCGATCAGCCAATCAGGGCTCGGCATTCTGACGTCACCACTACCCCCTGCGCAAGAAGCAGACGAACTTGCCCTCCGCATTCCTTTAATTTTTTTTCCTGGCGAGGGGGCTCGTTGAGCTTGCTTCGACCCAGCTCCTGTCGCACGCAGACCCCTGTCGGCTTGCCGCTTCTTGCGCCACAGTTGGGCCAGCAGATCTAGGCTCTGCTTCTGCTCGTGTCTCGTTCACCCGCTTTCACGTAGAGTGCCTTCATACACACGCGCGCTTTTGCTACTTTCTCGCTTAGCAGCGGCATCTTCTGACTGACGCTGTTCACTGGTTTCCCCAAGCGCATTGGCTTCCACCCCGTGACGTCGCCTCCCTCTCCTCCTTTGTCCTCACTACTCTCCTCTCTACGCGACCGAATCTGCCAAACTTCAGATTCGGCAAACGTCTGCGCACGCGCGAGCACACGACAGGGCCATGAATTGCGAATGGACGCCGTGCGATCGTGCGGTTACCATCGTACAGTGAGCATTACTAGCGGTTACGGCGAGGTGTGGAGTAGCCGACATGATAACGGTGTTTGTCAACCTTTGCGAGGGAGTGAGTTTCTCTTCAATGTTTTCTGCCTCAAGAACAGAAGAAAGCCGCCATTTCATATGAAGATTTTGTCTCGTCACAAAAACAAGACCGCGAGGGAGATAGACGAAGCGTATTCTATGGCGTCTGTCGGAGCTGACATGTGCGAGTCCTCCTTCTGTAGCCCTTGCAGGTGACAAGATCGATTTTGTAAAAAAGTGTGGCAGGTTCGTGCGACAGCATGTGGGCGTGGCTGATGTCGAATGTTATGGGGTTGCTTTGTTTGTTCTCTCCCTTTCCTCCTTTCTGTGTTTATTTCTCTTTTTGAGGAGCAATAAACTTTCAGTTGTAAGTCAGCACCCTGTCTGTGTGCTTCTTCGTCCTAGTCCTACGTCTTTTGTGCGCTGTTCCCCCCCAAACCCCAATAAGCTGTTTTTAAATCTTTTACGGTGTCCGATCTCATCGCTCACCTTTTTACGTGTCTTTAAAATGATAGGTTTTTCGTAACCGACTATTTTCTATTTCTACGACAGAGGATGGCGCCTTCCCTGTTTAAAAGTCAATTGCCACTTCGACACGGCTAGGAATATCCTCCTCCAGAGCGACAAATATGCGCCGCTTACAGACACGTCACATACCCATAGTTAGCAAGCGATTATCGCAAAATGCATGTTAAAAAAAAATAGTTCGCAGGACGTGTTTCCCGATTTTTTGTGTCCTTTTAAAATAAGCTACCTTCGTGCTCTTGGTTTACCGCGGCAGAAAAGAACATAGGAAGCCTCGTTATCTTTTACCAATATTTAATGTTATTTTACAGAATTAGTCTCAGTTCTTGGGCACCAATAGAAAGGCCGCAGAACTTCAAGCACACATATATATGACTTCGGCAGACCGTTTGTTATGGCCTCAGGTCTTGAGCATCGTTCATTCCTTCATGGAAAAAGCTCAGTCGAAATCCGCTTTTTACTACGTCGCTCTTCCTATATATTGTTCCGCTTCTCCCAGTATCACATTGACAGCCTCGACGAAAGAAGGAGCCACTGCCCACGGCTTTGGACTAATCTTATGTTCGTCTTCAGCCAGGTATTTACCTGTAAAAGGAAGAGAACAAAGGCCATTGGAAAACAAACATAGCCATAAGGGAAGGGTTGTCCCCGAGAAAATAAATAAAGGCAGATATTAAGAACCACGGGCTGAAAGGCCATTGTTTCGGGATTAGGGAAATGCAGCAGTGGGCCAATATTTCTATACTTCGTTTCACCGGCTAAACCAATGACGCTGTAGCGTCTAGGGTTGTTCCAGACTCTAAGTTAAACGGGTCTGAAACGGGTGGTAATAACACTACTTTTTATTTGGTTAACATAGGGCCGAGCACGAGGAGCAGTCTTCGTAATCTGATGCCGTTCTGCTGCGAAGTCTCCCTGTGCAGTCCAGTCTCCCTAGCCGAATAAAGCGCGCGCGCTAGCTCGCTCACTTTATTTCTCAAGGCCACTGTATAAAAATTAGGTTCGAATTGGCCTGGGGCACAAGAAGTAGAACGATTTCTAATCAATCCTTTAGATTGGAAGCGGACAGCCCCAGCTGAAAGCAAAGTATCTAGAAAACCCAAATGTTACTCTTTTACTATCAGAAATGTGGTTCAGACTCAAGAACGTAACTTATCAGACACGAAAAGAAAAATCAAAGAAAAAATATATAAATGAAAACCACAACCGCATCATTTTCGAGTGTAGGGTTAGTGCCGGCGCTAACATTAATTTTTGCTTGCGGAACCTGCAAACACATTAAAAATGTTCTAAGGTTTCTTCATGTCCCAGTAAGCAGAGTTATTTCACTTCTGGTGCGCTAATAAAACAAAGTAGACTGACTTACCTGTTTCCACTAAGATCCCCCGGATGCCAACCTTTTGTGCACCATCAATGTCATCACGAACATCCTTCAAAAATGTGAGAGCCAAATGCCAAATCAAAATTAAATGGCAAACATATGCAGACAAAACTAGAATGTTGGTAAGAGTGCTATGCACCAAAGTTGCAACCTAGTAACTACGTACCTTAAAAAACGAAAAAAAGAAAAAAAGTTTTTTTAAATTAGTCTGGTTGGAACATGCATGTCAAAAAATAAATTTTAAAAGCAATATTGACGGCGATAGATTTATTTGAAATTCTGCGCGCAAAGCCCATGACGTCACGGGTCCTTCCGGAATGACCGTCCCGGTCGTGAAGGCGAAGCCGATCCACCTCTCCATTAAGCGCCCGAAATGCCGAGATAAAACAAGTGGAAAGGAGGTGACTGCCCCCGCAGCCTTTTTCGGAGGAGCACGATCTGTAGTCGTCTCTCGCAACGTTTCAGTTTCGTTATCGACATTCCCGGGGGGGAGTGAAGGAGTTTCGCGGCCTTTTTTGTTTCGATTGCTGGGTGGGCTCTCTGGGTGTGCTTGTTTTCGTTCCCCTCATCATAACCGACTCGCCCGAGCAAACTGCGGCGATCAGATCGTGGCAGTTAATTTCAGGAGGTCTAATAAAACGCAGTGACAGCGACGAAGATACCAGCTTAGCTCCAGCTCGAGTGACGACGAGGCAGCCGTTCTCGGCGAAGTGTTCGCTGAGTCGTTTGACTGGCCAGCGAAGAGGCCCAAGATACCTCGTTACGTCGAAGGCGTTGCGAGCGCCTATTCGGATGAAGGGCTAGGTATGTCGTTTGTTCGTTTTGTGGTCTCTGTAATATAACTGGAATAATTAGGAGACAACACGCCAAATACTCCGCAGATAGAAGTCGCCTTCGGAGATGACGATCGCTTTACGGGATACGTGTTTGGTATTGCTTTATAGCATCTTACGGCTCGTACAAGTATAGGGTGGTCCAAGTCACCAGGCTCGATCTAAAATGGACTGTAAAAATCCTGCACGTAGTAATCTAAACTTTTCGTCAAAGGTGTATTTCACAGGTCGGTTTTTCCTTGCAAAATTACAAAGCGTAGTTCTCTATCTGTAAACAATAAGGCCAAGAAACTTGCCAGGGTCTACAGCAGGCAGCGACGTAGACGACAGGGGTTCAGTAGCGGAATGTGTTTGGCGTTCGTATTGATAGATTGCTTGGGCAGCAGCGTCCGAAGGTGCAGCCGACCAGCGAAAGACAGCAGACGACACACAGACGAAATCCGTTGGCAGCAAAAGCGCCACCGTTATGCAGACGAGTTTTTTTTTTTTTTTTTACTTTAAGTTTTGCTTTTATTGTCCGCATTTATTTTTTAACCTAAGGTACATTTCAAAAAGATTATGTTCATTTTAATAAACCACGGTGGTCGCGAGCCGTCGCGATAAGAATTAGCACAATCTATCAATACGAACGCCAAACACACCCCGCGTCGCTGCCCGCGTAGACTCTGGCAAGTTTCTTGGTCTTATTTTTTAGAGAAAGAGAACTACGCTTTGTAATTCTACAAGAAAATACCGACCTGTGAAATACACCTTTGACGAAAAGTTTAGATGGCTACGTGCAGGCGTCGATTTTTACGGTCCATTTTAAATCGAGCCTGGTGGCATGGACCACCCTATACTTCGTTGTCTTCATCGGGCTTATATACACCAACTCATGTTTACAAACAAACCGGAGCGCCCGGAGCGCCCCTAGTGGACGCCACCGGCGCCGCGCATGCGCGATGGGGGTGTGGGCAACAAGCTCGCCGTCGCCCATAAACAAACCATTGAAATGCGATGTTGTCGGCGCCTGTGTGAGTCCCCGCGCTCTTTTTCGCGTTGGAATTGTTGTTTCTACGTCCTCCCAACGATGTCTGACTACTTGAGCGGCGTCAGCGAAATTAATGAGGCTCGTTACACCGCAAAATTTCGCGTGAATAATCTGACATGCGGCGATTCATTCCGCCTGGACGCCGCAGAATGTACGCTAAAGCCTGATTCACATGATGAGATTTCGCTCACAATTTTCAGTAGCGACGTCGCTCGGACTGCAAAAGCGTGAACCGTAGCTGAGATGGTCGACGTCGACACTGAAAATCGCGAGCAGAATCTAACCAAGTGAATCAGGCATACCAAGTCGGTGATGGCCACTGGTAACAATGATCAACATCTCCTTGTATCTACTGTTTACGTCGAGCCTGCTTACCAACCTTCAAACTTAAGTCTTTTGAGGCCTGCACTTCTTATCGCAAGTACCGGGTCCACGTTTGGTCTACGAGCCGGTGTCCTCTAAAAGAGCAGACGACAAGCAGAAACGTTTGAAAGAGCAGACGACAGTTCGAACGATCAGGCGACCGTTTGAACTTGAAGACGCACTGAACGTAGTCCGCAGGTGGACCGTACAACTTGGCGGTTTTCCGGCGTTCATTTTGGAACAAAACAAATAAATCTGATGGCCAGAATTATCCGTGAATTCAACCCAAAATGCTTCCCGCCCAAGCAATCGTGGTCCGACGGCGTCTGGTTTTCCCTTTTCACGGCACATATCCACGTTCTCCGACGAACCGAGCGCATGAAAACTGACCAAACCTTTCTCGACCCTTTTGGTACAGCCCCAGTCGCAGCATTTTGACAAGAAGGCAGGTTTTTGTCTGGTTCCTTTGAAAACAACGCAGGAATGCACGTCTCAGATGGGCACTTCCGCCCACAGCCCCGGACCGGAAGTGCGTCCGACGCGCCACCACCGCGCCGTGACGTAACAGAGATGAGTTCGTGTATAACAGTAAGGAAAAATAAATTGTGTCTTAACGCCGGGGTCACCGTTAATCAAGTAGTAAACAATCAATTTTTTGTCGAAGCATAAAGTTCCGACCAGAACTTCATGCTTTCAGCAAGATAGCAACGGGGACCGCAACTGTTCAAAAACGCGAGCAGACGCTCTGGAAGCGGTGGCACCGGTGGCGCTGGGAACGTTACGCTCGATTTGCTCCGCAGCGCGTGCCACTGGGATGGTTCACGTGACCGATCGCTCACGGAGGCCGATCGCTCGATGACCGCTAGCGCGGAGCGCTCGGCATTTGCCAGGGGAAGGGGCTATTAATCGCGTCTCACGCCGTCAATATTGCACTGAAAATTATTTTTTTTTCGCATAAAATTAGTTTTTCGACACGCGTGTCCCAACCAGACAGTTAAAAAAAAAAAAAAAAAAAAAAAAACTTTTTTTTTTTTTAGGGTTTTTTTAAAGCAACACACATAAATTAAATAGTAAATGAACCAATTGTGATGATGGCGCTTTGCATGCCTTGGGAGAGCAGGTAAACACAGGTGGGAAACGTTTGTTTTTCTGCACTCCTATGCATCGAAATCGAGGTCAACAGTAAATTGACGCTCTAAATTGGCCCTCCCTCGGATCCTCAGTAAAACTTTTCGTGATTTCTGCTAATTTTTGTTTGCTATATTTAGTAAATAAATCTGCTTTACAAAGTTTGGAGAATTACTGGGGCGGTACAGGGAGGACACTAAAAAGAAAAAAAAACACCATATGAAAAATCCTTTGGAATTGCCTTGAAAAAACTTAAAGTAAATTTTTCTTCAAGTCAGGCTGGCCACTTTGACTATTATCATTATCTAGTGTTTGGCATTTATAACATGCTAAAGCGCGATCCAAACCAACGCTTCTTTTTGCGCCTGTAGGTCGTGCGGCTGCGGATGTGACGCATTTCCTGACGTTTTTGCTGTTTCCGGGCGCGCTTTCTGAGTCAGAACCGTGCGCTTTGGTTTGGACGGGCCAGCTTCGGGCGAGCGCGCACGCGCGCGACAGACTGGCCCGCCAGGCCAGTCTGTCGCAGCCAGAAGGCGGCGAGAGAGAGAGAGAGAGATCGAGTTGTTATGTTGGAAGAGAATAAAAAAGTGGGGGGAGGAGAGGGCCAATTGTGGATGCGCACCAGGCGCTTTTGTCACTTGCTCTGAGAAGGCGGCGAAGAAACGCGGAGCCGGAACTAGCTTGCCCTCCACCGATTGGCCGGGACACAGGAGCGCCCTATACGTCACCGCGCGTTTTTGTGCGCGTTGAGAAAAAAGTTGAAATTATCCAACTTTTTTGTGCGCGCCCGGAAGGAGCGAAGAAGTGGCGCGACGTCACGAAAATACGTCACATCCGCAGCCGCACGACCTACAGGCGCAAAAAGAAGCGTTGGTTTGGATCGCGCTTAACAGTGGCCGATGAAGAAAGAAGTTGAAGACATGCACCAAGGTGCATAACACAAAGTCTGTGTGCATTCTAGAGTAACACAACGTGATGCACAAATTGGATACAAGTGCTGCATAAGCATTCACTTCAAACTCACGTCCAATCAATCAACTGGCAGATACTCAGCTTGGAAGCCCTTTGATGTGCTGAATTTTATCAAGGGCTTACTCGGGTCAGCACTGTCAGCACTTCGGACAGAATGGTAGTTTCTTCGTCACCGTCGAAACAGAACCAAAAAACACATTCCCATTTTCCACTAACATACAAAAGTGATGGTGCCTGATGAAGTACTACTCTTTTACCACCACCAGCATAACCAAAGCTATACTGATATTTGAGTCCCAACACGGCACTGAACTTCAGAAATGCGGCATGTCTTCAATCTCTGGAGGCACGGTTGATCAGTGAGCTAATAAAAAAAAAATATGGCTCTCTTACTCAGTCAAGAAAATAAACTGGTACCACTAATGCTAGATTCAGAGTGTCATAACTATAAAAAAACATACATCTCCGATCATGACAGCATCCTCTGGCCTGGTGTCCAGTAGCTTGAGGACACTCTGAAAGAAACCCTTCTCAGGCTTGCCAACAACCTTCGCCTTCACGTCTGTGGCATATTCTAAAGCTGCCACGAAAGGCCCAGGCCCCAGTGAGAGCCCGGAATGGGTGCGGTAGTAGCGCCCCTTGTGGATGGCTATGAGAGATGCTCCTTTGGACACCAACCTGCAGGTTGGAACAGTGTGTCTGACTTAAGCCAGTTCGATCAAAGAGTATGTGTCCACCAAGATTCTAAGTTGGCACATCATCCTCTATATTTGGCCATTATAAAGCATGCACACAGCGCATCTTATGCTGAAAAACAAGCTGGAAAATGCTGTGCCTGGACATAGAAAGCTAACTTTCACTAAATGGGCATCGAGGTGGCGCATTTCGCCTCGTGAAATTTAAAGGCGTAGTTCTCTTTCTGTAACCAAATGAGACCATTAAACTTGCCAAAGTCAATGGTGGACGTGTTCGCAGACAACCGAATTAGCAATGAATGAAACTTGTGGTGCCATCTCCCGATAGGCACAGCTAGCACACAACAAAGAGGATTGTCTGCTCGCTGCACCTATCAAGAAATGGCGCCACAAGTTAGATCCATTGTTCATTTAGTCGTCCGCAAACACGTCTACCGTTTATTTTTTAAGCTCAGTGGTCTAAATTTTTACAGAAAGGGAACACTGCTTTTAAATTTCACAAGGTAAAATGCACCACCTCAATGCTCATTCGGGGAAAGTTTAAACTTTCTGTGTGCAAGCGCCGATTTTTTCTGCTCGCTTTTACAATGCAAGATTCACCGTGCGCACCCTATATTATTCCATAATAGACCATTCCAATAATCGCCTTCTGCGTGCTGCCATCTTTGTCCACTGGGTCGTACATTGCACCATAGCCGAAGGAGGACTTCGGCTTCCCCCCCAACCCCCACAACATTAGTCAACCTCATTGGGGAGGAGATCAGATCGTGGTGCCCCAAGCGGCTAACTTTGAAACTATACAGATCGGGACAACAAATAACAATGACTGAGCACTCGGCTGACTCAACCGAACGCCGCGTCAGCGTTCAGCTGGAGCTTGTGTTCTCCGGTTGCCTGAGGGTGAAAAGGGGCTCTTTTTGTTACCACTCCGGCTTGCATGGACAATGCAGCATGCTTGGTACATATGCCCAGCTCAGCACAAAAGCCGAAGTGGGTCAAGCTCACATTCTCACTACTGCACTCGGGAGAGATCCGGCTCTAGCAATAAACGTCACTTTGTTCCTTGTTAGTATTTTTATGGTAAGTTGTGAACATGCCCACAAGGTCTGTAGGCATGTCCACAGGCCTTGTGTGGGGCAAACACCAAGGTGTGGGGACAACAAACAAGTCAGAGCACCCTCTCTAGTTTGATCTCCTCACCAGTATGTACATGCGTAGTCCCAACGCCACCTTCTGTTCCCCGAAGCATAGAGATCCTAGTAATATCATTCCTCGCCTCCCCCACTATCCCCCCAACATATATCCTGGCTACGCCACTGGTGCATTGTGCCTGAGCATGTATGTGAAATACCTCTATTCTGTTAAATATTTACAGTAGGCATGTACCCTACCTACCTACACCACCCCCTTCCCTTCCTTCCCCTTCCCTCCCTCCTCTCCTCCTCCTCTCCCCCCCCGTGGGCGCATATATTTCGCCTGGAAGGTATTTATTCAGTGCAAAGTCTGCATACAGAAGCTTGCAATGAGACAGACATGTCTAAAATTTGGAAAAAGTGCGCTGGTAGAAATTACGCAGAGAAAGGGTGAAACAATGTTCTAGGGAAAAGTTGTTTGTAAATGCCTAATCAAAAAACTGTTCTTTTTTCTTATTTCTGATTATGAGCGCGGAAGACGTGTTGTCACCTAAACATGAAGGCCGAGGAAACCCGCGCATGACCAGTACTCCAGTTTTGTTTAGAGCTAAAAAATCAAGTTTACCTGAAAGCCTCATTCATTGGACCGAAATCAAATTTGTCTGGAGCCAGTCCAATAACAACCGCATTCGGGTCGCTTGTGTCAAGACCTGTAAACAGGAGATGAAATATTCATCACAAATCCCCGAAAGAAATTGGGAGAAAAAGACGAGGTAAACAGTCAATGGGAAAGCGTATACCTGCGAACTCTTCCATAGAAGCCTCTGCCACCATGAGGTACGGTCGCAGCTTTCGCGTTTCAACGTAAGATCTGGCTGCCGTAAGTGACGAAAACATCTCGTTTTCATCTATCTTAAATCCTAGACAGGCTAAGCGTTTGTGCAAACATTTCCGCGACTCCTTGGTCGTATTTGTTACGAATCGAATCTTGAGACCGGCATCCCGCAACCTGCGAAAACGAACGTTTATGGAGAAAAAGGAAACGTGGAAAAAAAAAACCAAACACCCCATCCCATCGGTCTTACCTTTGTAGCGCCTCTATCGCACCTGGAATAACCAAGTCTTCTACGTGAAGAGTTCCGCTGAGATCAATGAGCACCGATTTGGCGTGTGTTCGAGTAGACATTGCTCCCAATCGAGTAAAACTGGCAAAACCGGCGAGACCGAAAGAGATTAGTTTGTGGATTTCTCGCAGCATCCGCCGGCTTCCAGTTCCATGTTTACATTGTTTACATTGTTGTACTCGAGTCCTCCTGGTGGTGAATTGTTAAATCTTCCAGCAAGACAATCAGAATGGTAATATTTTGTCATACTACGACGCTTCTCATATAGTATATATAGTACAATTCCAACTATTCATAATTATAACTAATACGAAAGATTTATATTTATTTTAGTAAAGAGCTAGATTCGGTTTCATTTTGACGCGCCGCACTACTCATAGGACGTCTTGTGGTTCTCGAAAACTTTCTGGGGTAAGTACGAAAGAGCAACAGCAGTCTCCTCGTGGAAGTTTCTAGACTAAAGAGAGACTACAAAAAGCAAGCCTTCGAAGCAAGCGAACCGTGCTATTGTCGCCAATGCGGGATGTATGGTTCCCTTTGAAAAACATTCAGACTGAGGAAAACAGAAAAAAGGAGACACCATAAGCAGTATGTTAGCACTTTATCGGTTATCTATGGTTCCCTCTTGTTTTAGTTGCAAACACAAATTTGCTCGATGAAGCATTCATTTTCAGATTAACATTCGTCGATTTTTATATGTCCGTGACCAGGGGCTCAGCATTTCTGCCATTTCTGACGTGAGTGGCGACGTCTTGAGGCTCATGCAAGGCTCATGTCGCATCGTGTAGTTCACCTCAGAGCCGTATACGTAGAGAGTTTGGTCAATGGGAGGCGCGGGCAGAGCCAGGGCGTGCGGCAGACTCGGAAAGAGGTAATGAAGCAATGGTGGGACTTCGTCCGTGTCGTTCTGTGTTTTGCCCCTTGTCCGTTCCCCAGTCTCGGGTTTACAACTATGCGGAAAGAGGGCTTGGCATGCTCACTTGACCAACCTAAAGTCATCCAGTGACTTTAGACTAGGGGTGTCGCGAACCGGCCGAGGTCCGAGTTCGACCAGGTTCGACTTTTTCGAACTTTTAGTGGGCAATGGACCTTTTCCGAGACGCGTTCTGCGCACGCGCGAGCGCCCGATGCCAAGCGGTGGAAGTCGGCACGAAAAATCGAGGAAATTCGGAATGAGGATGTCGATCGTTCTACTAATCGCACTCTTCCACCATCATTTTGGATGAGGGTGATTGAAACATCACGTGTACCATATTTTCAGCCATCGAGAGTTACTCCAATGCAGTTATCAGGTTTGTTTCTCGCGACCACCACCAGGGTATTATTTCCGGCTTCTGGTTGGTCACATTCGAATTTCTGAAGACGCCCTGGAACACGCCCAGCCCGCTTTCGGCCAATGGCACCTCCTCATTTGTCTCCTTTACTTCTCAATAAATGGCCAAACTCTTTACATATACGGCTCTGGTTCACTCTCCCTCTCTCCAGTGGCGTCGGAAGTATTTCTGAGGTGGGGGGGGCAACGGAATTGGGGTGGGGTGGGGGGGGTGAAGCATCTAGAACAATATGGATATATAAAATCGAAACGCTCACAAACGTTTATTTAGAACAAATATATGTCCTTCCTCTTTTGGAATGGGATGATCTTGTTTTTCTCCCATATTGACGTCTTCAAACAGCGTGAAATAAGAAAGAGCTCACTGGTGCCCGACAACGGTTCGTCGTTCAGCCGTCCTCGACACAAACTCTCTGATGATAGAGTTCAGATCAAGTTCTGCTGCTCGCTCACTATTTACGTGCAGCAGCATCACCTGAGTCAGTCGCTTTTGTGACATGGTAGCTCTGAGGTAATTCTTGATACGCCGAAGTGCGCTGAAACTTCGTTCAGCTGATGCCGCTGACGCTGGCACTGTCATTATAAGTGCCGCAAGGCGCATCACCTCAGTCATCATCCTCTTGACCTCTGGGACTTGTCTGCCCAGAGCACGGCACAACTCAGGTACGGAGCCGATCTGACCGCTTGAGAGCGAGTGAACCATGTTCAGCTGCCTTGAAAGGCTTTCCAGGTGAAAATCAGTAGCGTGGGATCCTAACTTCCTTTCAAGTTCTTCTGCAGTTTGTGGCTTCTCTTGAATAGCGCACAAATTTATTTGCTCTAGTTGTGCGAGACTTTGCATGCCTGGTTGCTTGAATCGTCTCGCAAGCTCGGCGCGAACACAATCTAACGCTTCGCAGAGCTGCTTCCGAAGGCCTGTCTCCGCGTCTAGGAACGCTGGTTGACAGGGCTCGCTGCTGTGTTCGAACCTTCTTGGAGGACCGCATCGCGTGGTCTTGCATAGGCGCGTATCGACTGCTTTATTCGGCTACAGAAATGGAGAAGCTCCTGCGTATTTCTGGTTTTAAAATAACCGCAAATAATTGAGCCCTCGAATAACTAATCCCATGATGATGAAGGTCATCATGCCACTCGTAATGTGAGAAATTCATTCCCGCGAAATATCTTAAAAATCGCACTCTGAGAAATTTGCGAAATATTGAGCTCGCGAGCCGCCATTACTAGAAAATCTCTGGGGGGGCGGTCGCCCCCCCTGCCCCCCCTGTTCCGACGCCACTGCCTCTCTCTCTTTCTATATATATATATATATATATCAACGATCACTGACGAAGCGCAGTGCAGAGAAATGAAGGCTGCAGTTTGATCGAATCTTCGGCTATTTATTAGTGAGAACGCAGATATTGGGCAGTCAATGAATGACAACTTCAAATGGACGGGTTAACCAGGCTTCCGAAGAAATACGTCACCAACTACTGATGCCTACATACAGATATACAATATACAGATATAAACCATATTAAACATGATGCACAAAATAAAGACCTACACTTTTTCCTCTACTTCGGGTCATACACAATATTTTTTTATATATATATATAGGGTGGTCCAAGTCACTAGGCTCGATCAAAAATGGACCGTAAAAATCGACTCCTGTACATAGCAATCTAAACTCTTCGTCAAAGGTGTATTTCACAGGTCGGTTTTTTCTTGCAAAATTACAAAGTGTAGTTCTCTATCTGTAAACAATAAGGCCAAGAAACTTGACAGGGTCTATGGCGGGCAGCGACGCAGACGACCAAGTCCAGTAGCAGGGTGTGTTTGGCGTTCGTATTGATAGATGGCGTCGGGAGCAGCGTTCGAAGGTGCAGCCGACCAGCGAAAGCAAGTAGATGACACGCAGACGAAAACTGTTGGCAGCAAAAGCGCCGCCGTTATGCGGACGCGATTTTTTACTTCAAGTTTTGCTTTTATTGTCCGCCTTTATTTCTTAACCGAAGGTACATTTCAAAAAAGATTATGTCCATTTTAATAAACCACGGTGGTCGCGAGCCGTTGTGATAAGGAGGTAGCACCATCTATCAATACAAACGCCAAACACACCCCGCTACGGAACCCCTGTCGTCTGCGTCGCTGCCCACTGTAGACTCTGGCAAGTTTCTTGGCTTTATCTTTTACAAAAAGAGAACTATGCATTGTAATTTTACAAGAAAAAACCGACCTGTGAAATACACCTTTGACGAAAAGTTTAGATTGCTACATGCAGGCATAGATTTTTACGGTAAATTTTAGATCGAGCCTAGTGACTTGAACCACCCTATATATCCTGGGCGGTGCACCATCATGTCAAACCAAATGCGGCTGCCCGTTCAGTCGTCCTGTGAACAAAATCATTGATTATTTCCTCTAGCGCCAGTTCTGCTGTCTTGACATGTAAAAGTAAAAGATGTGTTAGTCTGCTTTGTGTCATACGGCTGTGATGCACCTTTCAATTCGACGTATAGCACTGAGTGAGCGCTCGCCTGAGGCTACGGATGCAGGAATGGACAGTAAACGCTGGAGGTACTTAATACAGTAAAACCTCGTTATAACAAAATGGGATATAACAAAGCAATCATAATTCCCTTTGTTTGTTAATAGTGGGAAGAAATGGACATTGGCTATAACAAACTAATGGTTATAACGAAATAATTACGACCGCTCCTTCAACTTTGTTATAACGAGGTTTTACTGTAACTTCATAAAGTATTTCCCGCACCCCCTCCGACTTTTTCTGTAGGACATCTATGATGCTTTCTACTGTTACTGTGTCCACTTGCAACAGCGACAGCCTCACGGGTGGTGAGAGGGGAAAAGAGGGGGGGCGGCGGTCAGAACAGCTTTAAGTGTGGGGGCGACTGCCCCCACCGCCCCCACCGCCTCCACCGCCTTACCAGTTCCGGAGCCCCTGTCCGTGACAATAGATGGCTTGCATCGACGTCACATTAGCCGCCATCGCTCCCATACCATGCTTCTGTTTCCGGAACTTCTGCAGCATACGTTTAGTTTGGAACCATCAAATTTCTATTGTTGGCAAGGCTTGCCAAGAAAAACAGATTCAATGGTGCGAAATGTATGCTGCACAAGGTGCGGAAACAGGAGCATGGTACGGAGCAATGGCGGCTGATACGGTGCCATCCTTGAAAGGCTGCTTTAAGAACTAAGGTGCATTTATTTGTTTGTTACAAGAGTTAGTTATAAAATCGTAAAAGAGGAAACGACTGGAAGTTTCAAGTCTGCATAAAAGCACAGTGCTAGACAGACCCTCTGATGAGTGCTTCTTTGCTTCAAGCACTTCTGCACTTACACATTTCCTCACCAAACGTCCCTTAGTGCGGAAGGACATACATTATTCTAAATTGTTAACTAATTTTATTTACCAAATGCCAACTGCAATCATGTTCTCCAGTCAGAAGGTATTGTATCCAAGACCTAAGTATTTGTGCATAAAGGTCCAAAGCGTACATACTCTTTTACTTCAACATTTTGGTCGATGGTCCACCACGACTTCAGCTTACACGTGACCACACATTCCAGTCTCACCCCAGACTACACACCCTTTGAACTTTGGCAAACACTGAATTGTCAAACAAGAGAAGACCAAAGTTTCCACCTGGCTGATGACCTGTGATCTCAAACGCACCCCTGAGACACTTACAATAAACTACATTTGTGTGGTGCAATCATTATTACCTATCTTTAGTGTTTCTGGCCGGCTGGACTAAAAACAACAAATGTAACGATAAAAAGGCAACTGTCCACGCAAGACACGCAGCCATCACAGACAGACGCCCCGGTAAGGCAACAAGTGGGCTACACTGCATTATGACAAACTTAATTCTATAATAACACCAGACTAGGCTGTATGAATCGATATGTCTCCATCAAGAAATAAGAACTATTTCACCAGTTTTGCCATATTTTAATTTTTTAAAAATCATGAACTGCACAACTTTTGCCCCCGAGTGAGCATTATAACTCTTCAACACTCCACTTGTATGCAATCTCTTCGGTTGCCTTCTTGTTGTTCCTCATCTCGACAAGCTTCTTCTCAAACCCATTGGAACGGTCCACCCCGTCCCAGCGATATCCTGGCCGAATCCCGTAGCGGTTTGGAGGTGGTTCGGGACCGCTGTACTTCGGTAGGTCTGAAACGGGTAATAAAAACTTTAATGTGCATGCAGGACACGAAACCCCAACATTTATTAAAATTACACAATAGTAACTTGAGTAAAGTAACTAGAGATCCCATATGGCAGAGAAGCAAGACCATTTATCCGGTACTGTCGCAAATCAAGTAGCTGATGCATTGAATTGGTTTACGCTATAACCTAGACACTTGAAAAGAACAGGCTCCTTGACCAATAGTAACGTCCCTGTTGATAACTATATTTATTTACTTGACAATACTACTACTTCAATACTGGGATATAATGCGGTAGGCATAGAGACAGAAAAATATCACTGGTAAAAATGAACACGCGCTAACACGGTGAATTTCAATTTGTTTCAACGTTAAAGGGGCCCTCTGGAGCTTTCTGCGATCGTCTGTTTATGATGTTATATTGCGTAGCAGGTGCAAGTTAATATGTATACAAAGTTTTAGATCACAATACCGTTTATTAGGTAAGCAGATGGCAGAAGAAATATATTGGGACTATTTTCTCTTGGAAGACAATCCCCGATTTCCTGCCCATCGCTAAAACTTGACCAATGGAAATGCTGCATCTCACGGTGAATGCGAACGTCATTATTGCAACACTTTTTAAGCTTGTTGTAAATTAGAGTTTAAGAAAAACGTAAACTGATTGTGGTGCGGGAAACATTGTCCACAATTATCGCTCCAAAACCAGCAAACTATGTTTTCTCCTTGCAAGCTTGTTGCTAGGGGGTGATGTGTCGACGCGTCGGCTCGTCTGCTTCCCGGGGCGTCTGCAGGCTTGCATTTGCGGGACATATGTTCCTTCCTCCCGTAGATCCCGACTCCGAAGCCAGCTTTGCGATCCTTCCACGTCAACGAGTCAAACTTTTCCTTGTCATCTGTGGGATGCGATTGCATATTGCAGTAGCAGCGCGACGGTGCGGTGCGACGAACGACGACTGCCGAGCACAAAGTCCGGGTTCCTTGACGACGGTCCACGCCCCCGAAAGATTCCTCCGCGGTTCGGTGGTCGGCCGCGTTGGTGACGCGCAGTGACGCCGGAATCCTTCGCTTGCTATTGGCTGACGCGTAAAGAGATGCCCCTCCCGTTTTCCGGGGTCATCTCACAAAGGGGGGGGTGCCGGGGACTTTGATAGCAATTTTAGTAGGGAAATCCGCCGCGAATGTCCATAATTTTCTGATTTTTAGGATCCTTAGGGCCTGTAGATTGAGTTATCACCATAAATAGACCATCGCAGAACGCTCCGGAGGGCCCCTTTAAGTGTCATGCTGGTGAAATTGTGTTGCTGCTCACGAGCTTGTATTACTGTTTTTACATTGAAACTATTAGTGTCCCATCCCTTGTGTAATGCCCTGTAACGGGGCCTTCAAGGTATTATGAAATAAATAAATAAATACAGGAAACTGTCAAGAGAATCGAATTGATAGTTGCAAACATTTTTGCAGAAAGATGCTAGTGGTGGGTGATGCAACATTTTCTTTAATATAAAAACCTTTTTCTTTTTTTTTCTTAGGTGTAACATTGCTTGATTTTTGCCCTACAGTATTCAAAAATTAGCATAGCAGTATCTGTCTGACTTTTTGCAAATTTTGTTATTTGCGCATGAACAGAGTGTGCAGATGTTTTTATCTTCAAGTAGTTGTTTGACCTGTTTTGTATACATTTCATTTTGTGTTTACTCCTCACACCATCATTTATGTTCTCTCTTCATAGCGTGTTTTATTTCGTTACAACGGTTATTTTGTTGGTTTGGTTGAAACTTTTGTTGCTCCTATGTTGAACTGTATGATGGGGGGGGGGGGGGGGGGAGAAGGGGGGGCAGAGGCTTTGTCAGGCATTGTGCCTTTATCTCTGCCCCCTCTGCGGAAAGAAATCCACAAAACAAATAAAGGGAAAAAAGATTAGTGATAATGGGAGGAAAGTCATTCCAACCCGATATGATTAAAAGGAAGAGTAAATTTTTAAAGAAATCAATGTGGAGCAGCAAGTTATTTAGGGTATGTGTCTTGAATGTGAAGCTCTAGCATTAATTCTCATGGAGAAGCTAGAAATAAGGACATCGGTCTTGATTTGAAGTTTGCCTGTAATGAATTTGTAGAGGGTTCTCAACCTACCAATTCTTGCACATTGTGCTCCTATAATTAAATCTGTTTGTTTCATTAATGATGACAAGTACTGCCACATCCAAATTTATTAGGGGTAAATAAAAAAGCCCTCTTTTGTAGCTTTTCCAATTTCTGGATAATAAAAGCTTCAAAGGGGTCCTAAATGACATAAGGATATTCCAGTGTACGATAAAATAATATTTTATGAGCAAGTAATTTAACCTCAGTGGTTGAAAATATGAGTGACCATTTTAGTTGCCATAGCTTGTTTGTAGCAATATGGGAATCCCAAGACAGGTTGCCTGAAATGGCATACTTGTATTTAGGTATACACAGAGTACAATATGAGATGTTATGTGGCTAAGTCCTTAAATTTGTTTTTGTATCAAAGACAGACTGGGGGACTATCAGTAGTATCTGCCATTTAAGTTTTGAAATTTGAGAAGCACCAATACATATCCACTGGAAACAAAAACACAACATCAGTTTGAAGTTAGATTGAAGGCAAGAACATGTTTACGGTGAACACCCCAAGCATTGTCCGAGTCCACTCGTTCCAGCACTTCTTCCTTGGTTTACCAAACTGCAAACTCGGTTAGACCTTGTTCATCTCTTCATTCTGTGGCATTTCATCTGACCATGCCCCCTCTCTATGCTTGTATTGAAAGAACGGCATCCTCCTGTGGCTGCTAGGCACACCAGTTCCAATGCTCTGCCAGTGCTTCTTTCACGGCATTATTGGAAAGGGAAATGCTAACTGAAAAGCTGCGAGCTTCTGGACAAAGATGAACTTTAAAATCATGTCTCAGACTAGTAAAGAAAAAGTTGCTGTATGTTGATTCAACCAAACTTGGCCAAAACATTTCTAACTGCCCGATGTGATGCCTCCATGGATTTAATTAATGGATATTTATTGATGTTTTAAACCTGTAGGGACTTCAATTTTCTCTATTCAATAGATTATCTTGACCTGTCTAACATCCCGTTTACACTTGTACAAGAGCCTCAAAGCTATTATGGACTAATTTGCTTAGTGAAGCCCTAAAAAATGGCAATCACTGGTGCAAAACCTGTTGCCGATTTCCACAAAAGAATTCACATAAACAAAAAGTTAGAGCCGGTATATGATTCACCCTACGTTCTGTGCAGGCATTGTTGAATATTTAATGTTGAATACCGGCCGCACAAGTTACAGTTGGGATCCAGAAGATGACAACTGATGTAAAGAGTGTGAGCTCGAGAAAACTACCTGAACGAGAAAAACTGTTTCACCGAAACTGGTAGTCTCTTTGCTTCCAACAACAGGGCTGATGGACTAGAGAAAGAACACTTTAGGGACTCAACGATTTGGCACCGAATCCTAGGACCTCGGACATGAGGAATTTACCTAAGGATGGATCAGCTGAAAATGAAGTGGAGGGTTCAGCAAAGCCAGAATGCGAGGTTAAAAAATCACCGAGCCCACGACTGCCGTTTGAGACATCCTCCCTTGACGTCAACTCTCCTGAGAATCTATAGGACAGACTGATCACTAGCTATGACAAACTTCCCAAGGCCAATGAGGGGATGGAGCCACACATTAGCGATGCTGATTCGGAATCAGATTATATAATATTGGTGGACGAAGAGCGCATTGGTGCGGGTCTGGACTGAAAAAAGAATAAACATGTAAGATAGAAACAACACAACCACACCTTTCTGAAAGATATGGTTGTGTTGTCTATCCTTTACATGTTTATTCTTTCTATATAATATTGTTCCAGACTATGAAAAAAGAATGTCTAGAGTCCTTGGTGAGCTGCACAGTAAGGTCCCACGTTGGCAGGCAACCACGACTACACCACATCAAGGAGCCAACAGCAACAAAAGACCACCCCTCCTACAGCACAGAAGGGCAGCTCTCCAAACCACTGCTCTTGCAGTACCGATGGGAGCTCACATGGTGGTAACCTTTCTGGGAGCAATCTGTTGCCACAATAGGTCAAAACACTGGGCTCTCTGAAGAGGACAGAGTTCAATACCTACACTCCCTACAGCCGCTAGTGCCACGTCCCAACTGCAGGCAACAACAGCATGCTATAGAGATGCCAAAGAAATGCTGTCCGAACGCTTTGGAGACAAGCAGAGCGCTCAGCATAAATACCTAGAAAGATTACGAAGCCCATCATTAGCGAAGTCAGAATTAGATGTTCAAGGACTAAGGAAAATTTATGATTGTGTACCGATCAACATTGGCAGCTTACGCTCCCCGGGCATTTCGAGTGCAATGTACACCACTATGATAGTGGCCATACTCCTGACTGGTCTTCCAACCGACATCGTGGTGGAGTACCATCGACCGTAACGCTGTCGGGCACAACTCGGGGTTTCCGCTACTAGGAAGAAGAGTTCTGCTTTGACTGACCGTGGAGCACTCTTGGACACCATCTCTGCATTGTCAACAGATGCAGAAGAGGAACTGGCTTAACCACTAGGTTTTCTATGGGTGGAGATTGAGCACCATGAACCGCTTTCGACCACGGTGCGTAGAAGTCGTCATGATTGCTTGTCTTCGCTCAGTCTCGGAGCAAAGACCAACAAGCACGGCGACACTGGCTTACAAACACACCAGTGCTGGTGCAACAAACCAGTAGGACAGACAATCATGCTTCTCTTGTCACAAGCAGAATCGCAATACTGGTGCTTGAATTTCTGACATCACATTGAGTGAGAAAACAAGGTTGGTGCAAAACATATGATTTTGCTGCATCAAAAGAGGGCATCAATCAAAGGACTGCCACAGCAGAGAGGGATGTTCAGGGTGCAGAGAACATGGTTCATTAATGCGGAATTTGATCTGGCAGGCATCATCTCCAGTTAAGACTTCAGGAGAGGACTGCCAATCTCCTTAGAGCAAATGACGTGACCCAGCACCATGCTCCGAGTATTCTCTTGGAGACATTCCAAAGTTGGGCTGTAACTGACAAGAGCGGTGCTTATAACTGTAGTATTTTGATGGTAAAAACCAGACAACATTCATGAAAGAGGGCTTATCCAAAAAGCTTAGCTTGGAAGGTGTCGGTCAACAAAGCATGCAACTCGACACACTTTCCAATTGAGATTCTGATGGGCTTAAACAGAAGTTCACAGTAGTTAGACTATGAGGACAGTATACGACGACAGGTCGTGCCTAGGAAGCCAATGTCATTCCTTTCATCTGCTTGAGTGTCATTGCTATACCCGTCAAGCACTCATTCCTTAAGGGCATCGCTGACAAGTTGGTGTTTCCTTCCATCCGAGCGGCGCTTGGCATAAGTCTGCTGATTGGAGCTGACCAGATGTGGAGATTGGCAATGGGTAAAACATGCCTCTCACCTCCAACACCAGCCTAGTAGCCAGTTAAACTACCCCGGGATGGACTTTTCACGGGCCGACAAGAACAGTGCACGACGTGGCAGGACAGCCAAACCTTCACTCATGCCACTGCCAGTGGTGGGAACCACCAACGACAACGAACAAGACAGAGTGCGTGTTTTTCGGCGGGCCACGCTTTGCCCGCTGTGCACGCTGTGAGAGCACACTTGGAGCATAAGAACCTATTCCGGAAGGCACCGCTCCAGTGCAAGGTGACGAAGCAGACAAAGGGCAGATTCTATAACATGCTGGACACTGCTGCTACGGAAACGGGAATCATAAGCCCTGAAGAGTGGGCAGCCCTGATCACAGATAATGGCAAGCACTTCGAGCTGAACACCGGGTGTTACCAGTGTCACCTGGATTGTAAGAGGCACCTGGAGTGGGAGAAGGACCGCAAGAGGAAAGAGCCCTAGCTGAGGTCAGTCACTGGTGAGTACACGGCTAGGAAGAAAAAGAGTGATGCCAAGGTGGCCAAGGAACTGCTATACCGTTTGGAAGTCTTTGCAGATTTATTGTTGTCACTTGGCAGGGAAAATGTTCAATATTTTTTACTGAGTAGCAGCTGCATGAAATTAGCCTGAATCTAAAAGACAAAGAGGGTTTATTGGACGAGCTTGAGGAAATGGGCCGAGCGAGGAAAACATTTTCTCCAAAGCTGGCTGTCCTGACCTTTAAACGACCTCAATATCAGTAACAAAGTAGAGAGACGAGACAGGCATCTCACGAGCATATCAAATTACATAGGTAATTTGAGAGGGTCGAATCAATCGTGGATGTACATCCCTTCCTGTTCACAATGTACATTCATTTGCGCAAGAGACCCCAAGATTCTGAAATGTTGAAAAATTAATGGTATTGTACTGGCCAGTTTGTAATCGTGAAGCTTACAAACTAGAACATGACTATTGACGTTACTGACGAATTAATGGCAGCAACATGCTGGACTATTGTTTCTATAATTCTAGTCTAATGTGCACTATGATCAGTTGTGCCAATAAAGGTAACCAATATTCCATTGTCTCAAGGGCAGACCTGGCATGGAGTCTCCTGGTTAAATAATTAAAAAACATGATTTCATTCCAAGAGAACCCTAAAAGAGTAGGATTCTGCAGAAAAGTATGGACTACAAAATAGATCCATGTAGCCCTGTGATTATTGTTAAATTTCTCACCTTTTCCTTTTTAATTTTTCTAGTATTTTATGATGTGCCTTACTGGCTGACATCTCCAATCAAAATTCTGCTGCCGTAAACAGCAAGCCTTTCAGTCAAACTGTCTCAGGTCTTGCCGTCAAGCCAACAAGAAAGACTTTTGCCCTAACTCGATTTTGTATTTCTCTCTTATGCATCATTTATGGTTTTCTTTTTTTTTATCGTAGCTTGAGATCTGAGAGCAGATAATATTTGAATTACATTGGGCTAGCTCTGACATGGTGTCTAGTATAAATACAATAAAATGAGACAAGCAAAAAACTGCTGCTCTATCCAGTCTAGAAAAGCATTACAAGAAATGAGGGCTGGCTTCTACACATACTGTTCTCGACGCCCTTCTTCTTCTTTTTCCGGATGTAGTTGAGCATGGGGTCTCCCTCCCTCTCCTGGTCCTTGAGATGCTTCTCCAGGTCTTCGTCATCCTCGTACCGACTAAAGGGCTTGGACATCTCGTGAAGGTGCTCTTCCAGCTTCTGTGTTTGCTGTTCCTGCTGAGCGAGTCTGAAAGTAAAATGTTACATGCCAAGCTATGTTAAAGGTACCATGGAATGACCTGCGGACATTTGGATTTGACTAGGGTTGTAGCACCCTTCATTTTGGGTGATCAATGTAAAACAAAACAGAATCTAGCGCCAAACACTGGCTAGATTCTGGCACTAGCCAGTGTACAGCCAGACTACTGGCAAGATGCTAATCAGGGTTGCTAGGCATGCGAAAGTTCTCTTATGAATTAAAGAATCTGAGGCCAGATTCACGAAATGACCTTACAACAAAGAAGTGCGTACGACAAGGTGTACGCACAGATTCGTGTTCACAAAGCGAAACATTTGCAAGTTTGCGTAAGTTATGGCAGATTACTGCAACAGCTCCAGGGATGTCTTACACACTTTTTTTACAATCAAATCAGCATAACCGACAGCGCTGCCGTTAGTCATCACGACGACCAACGGACGTTTATTTCTCTATGTGCTCTTCACGCGGGCCCCGACATTAAGCAGCAAGAAAAAAGAAAGAAGTACTCGAAACTGACAACGACAAAGATGAGCGCTGAATCCACAGATATCAGAAAAAAACTACAATGGCAACAATCCCACCGACCAAGCAATTGCCAAGGGCTACCTCCGCACTGGGCCTAGCAAGGCAGTCTGACGCAGCGTTGCTCCGATGGTCCCTGGCCAAGACCGTCTACCCACGACCGGCTGGCTTGCCAAATGGAATATGCCCCCGTGACCCTTGTAGAATTTTCCTGTATAAATAGTTGAATTGCTGACCTCAATTTTCGGTTAAGAGCTAAGTCAGTCTCTTCCCCTTCTCATCGCCTAGTTTTCAGAGGCAGCGAAGACGAATGCTCTCATCAAAAAAAGACAGGGAGACAGCTCCCCTTATTGATTCTATATTTTTACAGCAGAGCTGTAAAAATATACAGCAGAGGGCTAGTTTCCCCAGTTTTGTATCTATGGACAAATAAATGTTGACACAAAACTCCAGACAGCTACCGCCATATATGAACGACGGCGGCAACCTTTCCAGCCTTTCCACTTTGGTTTTCACCAGAGTGGAAAGGCTAAATTTCTCTAGGTGTCGTCCTAGCAGTCAGCCTCAAGGACAACGTCGTCCTCTAGGCGTCGTCCTGTAGGTCGTCCCTGAGGTTGTCCTAGACGTTTTTGAGGTTGTCCATGAGGTCGTCCTAGACGTCCTTGAGGTCGTCCTAGATGTTGTCCTTGAGGTCGTCCGGGAAGTCATCCTTGAGGTCGTCCTAGAAGTTGTCCTTGAGGTCGTCCTAGACGTTGTCCTCCAGGTCGTCCTGGAAGTCGTCCTTGAGGTCGTCCTAGACGTCGTCCTAGGTGTCGTCCTTGAGGTTGTCCTAGACGTCGTCCCTAAAATCATCCTAGGCGTCGTCCTTGAGGTCGTCCTCTACGCGTCGTCCTTGAGGTCGTCCAAGAAGTCGCCCTTGGGATCGTCATAGACGCCGTCCAAGAAGTCGCCCTTGAGGTCGTCATAAACGTCGTCCTCTAGGCATCGTCCAGACGTTGCAAAGATAACAGCTTCGCTGGTGCTCCATCTTTATGTGAAATAAAAAAACTCTCCTTTTTTTTCTTGTCTTTAAAATAAAGCTTAAATAAATGCCGTATGGATTACCTTTGCAGCATATGGTATGTACACTTTGTTATTAGTATGGCCTCACGACGGCACGTCAACAATGTCGAACTAGAGCAATTTGTGGGAGCTACGTGATGCTGGTCCAACCTTCCTCTGCCGAGAGTCACGTCAGTATCAAATTCTAATCGGAAAAGATTGGTTCCGAAGCGCTTACCAAGACACGGTTCAACTGTGCGGTTCCAGCGCTTCGATCAAACACTTGCGTGTCCGCTCCCAGTGTGAACAGGTATTATTTATGTGGCTCACTGCTGCATCCCCGTGGCCGCGAAAAACACCACGGTGATTTGCTTCCACATGCACCGCTTTGCAAACGAGCAGTGCAGGTCATCTCCTTTCAGCAACAATGATAACTGTGTTGACCTCGTAGCGATTGAGCTCGTATCAGTCGACATAGGCGGTTAGCCCAACTTCGGCATCCGGGCTCATTTAAATTGCGGTAGCATCGACATTTCACTGCACAGACACGATCCCCAGACAAGCGTTAGCACAAAAGTTGCCTGTCCTTGTTGTTCGGAACCCACGTGCTCCGAACCATGTTGAGCTCTTCCTTTGGTCGTTGGCGTTGCCAAGCCGCTGTCGCCATAAAAACAGCTTGCTCTCAAGTACGAGGACGTCACTTCCCTTCTCTCACTTAAGAATGCGTTCGTGTATACCGATTTCTGCACTTCTTACGATGTGCGTAACTTACAAACTTTTTAGCTAAGTTGTAGTAGCCTAAGAAGCTCTGAACTGAATTTTTGCACTAGGTACAAAATAATGTTTTCCTTCAAAAGCAAATGTACCAAAATTTCAGGAGTGCAATGGACCTGAAAGACATTAGGCGATTTATGCAACCCTCAATTTCGTTATTCTGGGCTCCACACCTGTAATCGTACGTGTAGCCCAACGTACAGGGGGTGACTCTATAATTTATAAACTTCCACATCTAATTTTTCATTGCTTATCGGAAGTAAAAATAAAAATTATTTTAGTGCCTTGTGAGCAGTTGAATCTGTGTGTGATGTTGCACTATGCTTGCTAATATCTTTGCCTCAAAGATCATGAACTTCATATTTATCTCTAAACATGCAATTCTAAAAATGTCTCAAAACAAAATTGCATCAATCTTTTACTATTTCAATTTAGAGGCTGCACTACTGCAGTGATTGTAGGTCACCAGTGACAACCAAGAGAACAGAAACGTCATTAAAATGCAAGGACAAGTTGCCAAAAAAAAAAAGCCCTCCCTGATGATTTATTTCGCATTTTAGTGAAACAATAGGGACAAAAATGTTGTGTGAATTCATATGAAGCTCTGAACCTAAACACTGCATCAATTCACGAGCACTTCCCGCTCACGTCTCAGGCACAACAGTTGAACGTGAATTTTCGTTGCTGTTTCAAACAAAGCATTTTGGTGGCAGCAAATAATGCAAGCACAGCTAAGAATTAGTTCCCATGTGTATAGCATTTGACTGGCAATTCAGCAGTTACCATTGCATAAAGCACTTCTCCAAACCATGTCCCGGGGGCCAGGTTCGGCCCGTGTAAGCGTTCGTCCGTCCCGCAAATGGCACGGTCTTTCCAGTAACGCCTGGCTCGCGGCCCGCTGCTACAAACACCAAAATTAGCGCACATAAGAAACAAACAAAACTCCGCAACACGCACCAAAGGCGCAAACGAAGATATTGCCACACGCGTCGGCGAGCGAGCGTATGCGTGGCCGAGTGGTTACCGCGCTTGGCTCTCGTGCGAAAGCCCAGGGTTCAATTCCTGGGAGCGAAGCTTCTTTTATTTATTCTTTCAATTTAGATTTCTGCTAAATTCAAGAACCCTGTTGCTTATTCGAGGTCCGATTGTTCTACACGCCGAACATTCTACAGTGATTGTCGCAGAAGCCCACGCGTGTACATAAGGGGCTCTGCGTGGTGCGCCGCAGTCAGTCCCGCCCCAGCGTTTGATCCTGCTGTTACGGCGACTTCGATGCTCTGTTGTTATCTTTTGTTTCTTTTTTGTTTTGGGTGCAAGTTCACCCCATTAAACGTTTCAGTTTCCTCAGTTATTCTTTGTTTCGTCACCAAGTCATTAGTGACATTTTGGTGGAAGTCTGGGGTACCGCATGTCGTGCAGCACACCCCTCTGAGGGCTTGCAGTGCAAGCCCGAACCCAAGCCCCCGAGGAACCAAAGAAAAGCAGACTGAGACCCGATCAAGTCGCCGCAGCCAAGGCCTACCCCCGGAATTGGGAACCTTGCCACTCAAGACCAAGCAGTCAACGAGGCCGACGATAGACAACCAGTCATCGCAGACCCTAGTTGCCGCCGCCGTCGTATAGACACTTTGCACACGCGCCAAATTACAGCCGCCATTGCTGACCTTCTCTTGTCTTACTGAGATGCCGAGCAACTTAAACAGTAGTTGACGATCCCCTACAAAGGCCGATGCTTTAGAAAAGGACACAGTTGAATCTAATATGGCAATAACCTAGCCTGCTATGGTAACGATGAAGTGAAATAAACGAAATAAGAGGAAACATAAACTGAAGGTCAGTTATGGCGGCGTCCATGCACAGCTGCTGCAAAGCGTCAATACCTTCCTGTCACACCCCGGACTCCCGACGCCTTTCCACAGGGAGGTCCACGAGGACATTGAAGGTTGGCTGCAACATTACGAACGAGTGGCCCGCTATAACGGATGGACACCGGAGCAGTGCCTTCAAAATGTTTACTTTGTTTTGGAGGCCACAGCGCGGTTTGAAAACCACAAAGCGTCAATCACCTCCTGGGAGCAACTGAAGGCTGAGCTCCAAGGTACATTCACCAACCAACAGCGGAGAGAAAACGCCGAAGCGCTTCTTCATGCAAGGATCCAAAGCCCTAACGAGAGCGTCGCTAGCTTTGCCGAAGATGTTCTTCGACTCAGCAACAGCACCTATCCTTACGCCTTCGAAGCAAAGAAGCTGAGAATCCTGATGCGAGGTGTCAAGGAGAGCATCTTCGGAGGCCTGGTGTGATGTCCACCTACAACCATTGCGACACTTGTAACGGAGACGACCAACATTGAACGAGCCCTGCAAGCACGAGCCGCTCACTTCCATCGAGCTTCTGGCGTCGCTACACCCACGACGTCCAGCTGCGCCCTCAGCCCCAACGTTCCGGGGATCCATAGAATTGTCCGGGACATTGTCCGTGAAGAACTGAAGAAGCTGGTACCTGCCGCCGAACGTCCAGCTTCGCTCTCGATCGTTGAGATTGTTCGAGAAGAGGTCCAGCAAGCGCTCTAGCCAGATGTTCTCGCCGACTACTCAGCTGCACCCCGACGAGAGGTCCCTTCGCCACAGTATGCTCCGCGCCAAAAGCAGGG